AAAAAAAAACAAAAACAACCCACCCAAACCAAAACAAACAACTTAACACAATACAAAGAACGCATGGCAATTCCTGTAGCTGTAAAGCATGTGGTTTGAAAGAGGGTTACTGAGAGGATAAGCTAGTGATGTAGACTCAGTGCAGGCACCAGTCAGGAAAGCAAAAGTGTTTTGGTGCCCTCTTTTAAGAAACTGGATGCACTGCTACAACAATGCTGCAGCCTGAAGATAAGTGATTGGCTTCTTGCTCAATCAGTGGTGAGGGGCAGGGCTGCTGGGACCCATCAGCAAATCAGTGACAAGACAGGGCCTGCTGCAAAAAGACCATGATATCAGCTCCATGAGTGGACCTAAAAACCTTTTGTCTCACTATGACTTGGGTAGGTCCCTATCCACAGGGCTCCCTGACAGCTCACCATTAGGCAAACTATTGGAGCCAGCCACTCTGCACGAGTCAGGGTGGGGGTGGTCAGGGGACTTCCTATTAATTAACATTCCAGATAATTGACTTCCTCATAATTGAAGTTCTCTGGTACCTCAAGTTTGGGGAGACATAGTCGCTAGATTGCATATGTACTTGGGAAAAATCCATTTAGAGTTTGATTAAGCTACAAGAATTTAAAAGCTGGCCTTTACCTATCTGCACTAGCTTAACACACAACAAGCTTGTTTGCCTCCCTATACTTTGTTAGCTGGTGCATACAAGACAGGGAAAATAAAGATCCCTGCCTGTATATGTTCCAGCTGTATTTATGCAGTGAGACTGTGTTCCATGTAAATTCTTGTTTCCTTCTGTATGGTCCATTCATGCATGTATCAAATGAGGCAGGAGTCCTTGTCTTGCTGAGGGTACATCTTGCATATCAGAATAAGCAGTTTCATATTATGGGAATTGCTTACAAAAATCCATATGCCAGAAGTAAACACCAAAATCAAGATGTGCCAATATTTAGGTGTATTTTAGGTCTGTAACTTTGCCCTTTTTTGTATATACATAATGTCTCACAGTATATTGTTGCATCTTATTTTTTGCCTCATGATAGACAGTGAGCAAGGCACAAATACACAGACCTTTTCATTTTTGGCTTTATTCTGTTTGCAGTTACCAAGGTAAATCCTGAATTTTTAATTGAGATTACATGTTTTGATTTGGTAAATACGTTGTAGTATGTGAGATGAGAATGTAGAATTATCTAAGTATATGATTTGGATGGTGTACAGCAAACAGAACAAGTTTGGTCATTGAACACTGAGGATAAAAATATATTCAACAGCTGCCTCCTTTGCTGCATATTGTCCAGCCTAAACAGTCTGATGCCAGGGGTCCTGAACAACAGCTTGTAGCACGCAGTGACTAATGTGGGCCCACTTTGTCCCTTATATTGAGTGTAAAAGGAGATGGGAATTCAGCAACCTCCCATTTTCTTCCACTGACATAAGTTTTTAATTAGACTCCAGATATGAGGGGTTACAGAACAGCAGCCTTTCCCCAAGAACCAATGTTATAAAAACTTTTTTTTCCTCTATCTTTGAAAATTGCCCATATAACTTTTCTATTCTTGGTTAATCACAAGAACTAGATATCAATGAGTTGTGTTCGCGTTGACTTACAAGTTTCAGAAGAGCTAGAAAACATACATCTCTCCTTTGTTCTTTTTTTTTAATTTTTATTTTTTTTGGAGGGCTCTGCTCTTAGTTCTCTCCTTTTCTTTCATTTAAGGAGAACTCTAGCTGTCCAGTTATCTGATCTGTAGGCATCTACATAATGATATATGCCAGGGGTTGTCAAATGGGGGTACATGGACCCCCGGGGGTACTTGATAAGGCCCTAGGGGGGTATGTGTGGGCAGCCAGGGACAGAAAGCCGCCACCCACCACCCGGCATCGTTGCCTCCTACGAGCAGAGCTGGGGAGTGGGGGCAAGGGCAGTGGCACTCCTCTGCAGCCTGGACAGCTGCCCCCCGTCTCTCCAGGCACGGGGGACAGGGGCATTTGCACGTGACGGCTGGGGGTTTCAGCATGTCACCTTGCTACCTTCATTATAATATGTTGAACTGTGTATTGAGATGAATAAGTCATGATTCTAAAAAGTTGCTTTTAATCCAGACTTTTATTTACTAGTTGCTATTCCTTAATTCACAGTTTTATGCTCTTACCTTGCCAAGGTGAATGTTTTATGCCTGTTCCTTTAGTGTCCTAATCGTTAGTAGGATTTTAGATTTTACGTAAGTGCATTTTCCTAAGCATGGGAGTCCTTACTATTCTTATCTCGTCTGAAGAAGAGTTCTCTATAGCATCGTTAGCATTCTTACCATGAGAACAGCATGAACATAAATTGATTAGCAGATTCCCCAATCTATAGGTGCAGACAACAAGATTTGTGTGGGATGTTTCTGTCATGAGAAGTGTGGGATCATTATACCTGATGCTCTCCAAGTGCTTGGTAGGTTGAAACCTACTTAGTTTGAGAGGTAATAGTCACATGGTTGCAGGTTGTCCTAAGCTTCTGAAACATTACTTTTTATACTTACATGATTCAGCCTGTTTCATACCTCTGTTCCGCTAACCCAAGAAGCACTGCCTTTTCATCCAGTACTGAAATCCTGAATACTAAGAGAATTCAACTTGTGTCTTTAGCATGAGTTATGCTGCTTTTTATATTCAGTGATGGTTTTACCCATCCATTCGTGCATGAGGCACATTATTGTTACCTTTGCAGTCCATGCAAGAGCTGACCAGAAACTGGAATTCCCATTCTACTTGACATTTCACAATTTCCAGCCATCTCTTTCTCCCCCAAAACAGAATGGAAAAAAATTAAAAATTTGAACACTTCCAAAAGTTTCCAGGTCTTCTCAAACAGCTTAGGCCTGCTCTTTGGGCTGCTAAGGATTCTTGGAAATTGTGCTGCCCAGGAGCCAGAAACTTGGGAGTGGTGTTCCAGACTCCCCACTAAGTGGACTTCTGAGAGATGCCATGGCAGGTTCTGTCAGCACAATAAGTGCTCAGTTCTTGAAGAGCTTATAGGTACCTACTTTACAAGGAGGATTTAGGTTTGGGATACCTACCTGCATGCAGGTCCTTGCCTGTAGCCCTGACCTGGGTACCTTGACTCTGGAGAGGTTTGCAGTTTCAGACCAGCCTTTGTTTAGTATTTACCTGAACGTAAGATGAACCTCTAGTAATTAGGTTCTGTACATTGAAAATGTATACGTTTGTTACAATTTTCCATGTATAGAATTTAATTATTGGGAGTCATCTTAAATTCCATGTCCCCCACTACTGTAGTGGGGAAAGTAGTGGCAGGGGAAGAGGGGAGGTTAAGCAGCTTGATCCCTATGCCCTGCTGCACGTTTCCTCCACTTGGTAACAGCTGTTGTACTAGTGGCAGCTGTGGGTTACAGCTGGAGCCACAGCAACTACCTGTCACCCCCCCCCCCATACTCAGATCCAAGATGAGGGGCTTCCCCCATATTAAATGGGGGGAACCTCATCTTGGATTCAAGTAAATAAAGTATTTCCTGTTGGTCAGCTCTAGATGATTGCCTGCTCATCGCAGGAGTATTTGGATTGGCATTTGACACATCTCATTCTCTCTGCACTGTACAGGAAACAAAAATTCATAACTTTGGACACTAAACGCCATGGACTAAACATAGACAGTGGTTTCATGACTCATAATATAATTGGTATCTCTTTTAACCTCTCAGTGCTCTGCAGGTAATAAGGATCTTTTCCCCCTCTGAGTGTGTTTTTTTTGGCTCTATGGGTTTTTTCCTTTCTTCTCACATTATTATCTATTCAACTAAACTTTTCTAGCTTTGAGTGACTTCTGTTAACTTCTTTGCTCCCAAGATGACATCTCTCTTCCACTCTCTTATGTGCCTGTTGTCTTTTACAAATGGAGTTTTATCTGGTATTTAGCTTAGGTTGCACTTGCTTCTTTCCCAAGACTAGAAGAAGAGCACTTTGTCCCCCAGAGCTTGTCTAACATCTCCCAACTACATGGTTATTTCAGTAAAAAGGATCATCAGTAAAACTTGGCTTCTCACATGTTTCCTGGACAGTCATGGCTACAACACTCAA